CTTCCTTCTATTCCGAGACAGGTCTTGTGGGTACTATTTTCAGGGACCAGCTCCATTCCCATCTCTTTTTGTTGCCAATCAGTCTCCAAGACGATGAAGGGTCCCGGCTGATCCCAAGTTGCTTGACTGTGGCCTTCATACAGACTATTTCACCAGGCTGCAGCACTCTTTTCCTGGTTCCTAGACTCCACAAGCTTCCTATTCCTTCCGTTTGGGCTCTTTGCTCCCGAACCACCCGTTCGATGATGTGATGCAATTGAGGGTGTATTCCTCGGAGTCTGAGGTCTTCATTCGAATAAGCAAACTACTCCCTACGTCAGTGTTGGTTCCAATTATTAAAGTGTTTTGTCTCGTCCCTGGAGGTTTGGAACATACAACTGTTAATATAGCAAATGTCTCTATATTCCCCGCTGTCGAGAAGCCAAAAGTTATTTTAACTGGAATATAGCTATCATAGGGGAATTTTTCAGAGCCAATACCCCAGACCTCCAACTCTTCAAACTTGCGCAAAGAGATATGTTTCAGATACTTGTCATAAAAGTCTGTATAGCAGGGTCACTTGGGTCCCAGTGTCTAGCAGTGCCTTAGTGTACACTCCCTCCAGCTAAACTGACACTATAGGAGAGGGGCCTACAAGCTTCTCAGGTAAATTAACTGCCATTACATGGTTGACTTGACCCTTTGTTCTCACTGCCAGCTGCTGAAATGATCTGATAGTGACTTTACATTAGGGTGGTGCTTTGACTCTCTGAACATTGCCCCCTGGTGGCTTTCAATTGAGCTTCATTGAGGATTCTGATGAACTTCTAGGAGACTTGTTCCTACATATTTGCTTGGATTTCAAACTCTTCTGTCTTTTGAAGTGCTGACTTTTCTTGGGGACCTCAGTTAGCGCCTTCACTGAGGCCCCCTGAAGTTTCCTTCCTTTCCTAGAGAGGAGAAGCTTCTGTATTACCCTTAGCTCTTCAGCCATTAGGTCTAGCTCAGTCTTTTTCCTGGGGCACTGAGCCCTAAAATGTCCAGGTTCTCCACACCAGTAGCACTTCTGCTCTGCATAGGCATGGGCTCCCCTCTTATTTGGTTTGACTGCCTGCATTTTCACTTGTGTCTCCAATACTCACAGCAAGCTTTTCTGTATCTGAATATGAACTTGAGCAACTATAGTCAGCAGGGCGGCTGGGACTGCCTCACTGACAGTTTTTGTCATTGAAGAGCTTGAGTATTCATCTGCTTCTGTCTCACCATCACTATCCTCATCAGTGAAATTCTTATCTACTGACACTTTTTCATTCTTGGAAGCAGATTTTGGCAGTCCTCTTGGTTCTTGATTCTTCTCCTCTAATAAAGCTTCCTCCTCTCTTACCTCTCTTACCTCCCTCACTAACTCAAGGAAAGTGGGAGTTGCTTGTGATCCTTGAGTAATAGTTTAAGCACAATCAGGTGATCAGCTCGGGCACCTTGTAAAATCCACTGTTGTTGAACTTCATCAGCATCCTGGGAATCGATCCCTTTTGTTAGAAAATTCTGATGTAGAGTTTTATCCACTTAAGTAATGTATTCAGAAAGTCTCTTACCCCTATGCTGACGAGTGTGCTCAAAGTAATACAGAAGGTCTGGAAGTTTCTCCACTCAACTGAACACAGCATATAAAGCATTAATATAGTCCATTGCTACACAATCCTGCTTTTCCCAACCTCAGACTGCAAATCACTTCAGCTGCAGGCTGACTTTCACTTAGTCTCTGTCTCTTGACTACTTCTGCGACATTCCATTCTTCCACAGCCCGAGTTGCCTGATCTATCCAAGTTTCAAACTTCCTCTCCTGTGGGGGTTTAAATCTGTCCTGAGAAAAAGCAAAGCTTTCAGTAACCTTGACAGAGGCAGAACTAATCTTTACTAAGTTCTTAACTAGCTTGCTTATGTCTGTATAAAACGAGGCAGGGGGAAATCCAATCAGTCACTGGACTTTCTACTCTTGCGTGTGAGTAATCCCCCGATCAACCTCTTCTGCCAAACTTATGCTGTCTTTCTGGAAACAAGCAGGAATAATTTCCTTTCACTCTAGTAATATGTGAGTGCAGTCCATAGCAAATTCCATTCTTATGTCAATGTGGTAGGCACCCTGGTCTGGCACCAGATTCTTTACCAGCTGACAGACTTCCCTCTCAGTCCATTCAACTCCTAGTATCTCAACTACCATACACAGTTCCAGATGGCTGCCTTTCTCTCAGCCCCACTCAGTCACAAGGACTGAGTCCATCATTTCTTCACCCTTTGACTCATGACTCCGCTTGATAGGGCTAACTGTGGGAGACATGCTGAATGAACCCCCAAATGTAGCGCTACCCCCACAGGGGCTGCTTGATAATGCTTGTCCCCAGTGGTTTCCCTGACCTTGCAAGCCTTCTGACACCTCTAACACTCTGTGTGCAAACATAATTCAACAGTATAGAATAATAATGCAAGAGACACAGTTCTTTAGTACAACCTGTATATTAGACTTGTTCAAAAAAGTAGGCTACAGGAGTAATAGGTTTAGGATATACAACCCCATTAATGCATAAAAGCAGAACACTGGTAAAATAGGAATAATCAATTAGTAACATTTAACAGGTTATACAGTAATGAGTAGTAAGCTTCAAATATTTAATTTCATCACCAGCAGCAAGAGGGGGAAGAAAGGCTTATTGACTTATCAGCTACCTCTAGACCACTGGCACCAGGTAATGCAGAGATTGCAACTTGAGTCCTGCAATGTTTAAAGTTCCTTATATGGTGGTATCTGCTGTCTTTTGCTAGCAATGGTGGGGCCCATAAGCATTAGTTAACACTGGTAATTCATGGAAGTTAAACAGATAGGCTGTGGCACTGCTCAAAGCAAAAATCTCCTGGTAACTGAGGTGTAAAGGTGTCTGCGTGTTGTCGTCTCTAGAGTGATGACAGAAAGAAATTGGGAATCCACCTGCTGACCAATCCCATGGCCTTCTAGGAACAAAAGTTCTTGCCCAGGCTCTTGGCTGTTTGCAGGGATGGTCAGAGTTACCTGGCTGACAGCCTGTCAGCTGTGAGCAGCATGTACAGTGAGTCCCCGCAGAGAAGCTGATGTCTGTGTGAAGCATCACCACTGTGCTGAACAGTGACAGTCCTGCAGCAGTGCGACAATGTGTCACTGGAGGAGAAAGTCTCCCCACTCTGAATCTCTAACAAAGAGAGCCAATCCTTCTCAAGCTTTCTGGTAGTTGTAGTTCAATCAGCACTTAGAAACACAGGATGCATTGGCTATAGGACTACAAGTTCTGCTGTCAGAAAAACTGAATCCACTCCGCTAACAGGAAGTGATGTAGCGGTCCCCAGTACTGGGCACTAGGGGGAAAAGGATTATTAATATTTTCGTCTGTTAATGTCCTGAATGGCATAATGATATAGCTGGCACCTGGCTACACAGAGGTAAAGGTTATACTTGCAAAGTTGCTTGGTGTCTCTGAATATAATAAACATGCTAATGTGTATTACCAGTTATTTATTTTTTATATATCTTGTAAAACTTACAATAACCCTGTGCTAAGAGAATTGCATAGTCTGACTTCCTAAAATGCAAGGTGCCTAGGTCTCATGATGACTTCTGTACTCTCTGAGTGACTGACCCAAAACAAGTATACAGATTAGGAGTCTGGATTCTATCTACCCACACTACATACTTATTCTAAGTCAGTGACTAAGATAGTTTTGAATGTATCTGTATGTTAGCACTCAACCACTATGCAGTACGGAAGTGATCTGGGATGCATTGTCCTTTCTCTGGTGGTACGTGATGGATGAAGGCAAGACGTTGGTGAGCCTTGTTAGGGTCTCCACTGTTGCTTCTCTGGTAGCAACGGAAAGGCTCTCCTCAAGACAGATTTGGATGGGTGTAGAGGCACACTCAATATAGAAGGTTGTTAGACTTGACTTTATTATTTTTAAAAAAGTTTATTGAAATTCACATTTCACAAGTGGTGAGTAGATAGATTTTCACAAGCAGGCCGGTAAAGGCATCTTCTATATTTTTCTCTTTACAAGTTTCCTTAAAATATAGATGTACCTTGGTTTATGAATTTAATTCGTTCTGCGGGTCTTTTCGTATTGCGAAAAATTCGTAAACCGAAACGAGGTTTCCCATAGGAATACATTGAAAACCAATTAATCCACTCTGGAGGTCAGAAAAAAGTAAAAAAAAGTCTTTTATCTGTTCAAAACTCTTTATAAAGTGCACTTTAAAGGCATAAATACTGTACAGGGACATGATTAAAAATTAATTCGTAAATGCACTGAAACTGAAAACCAATTAATCTGTTCCATGGGTCAAAAAAAAAGTCAAAAAAAGTTTTATTTGTTCAAAACTATTTATGAAGTGCACTTTAAAGGCATAAAGGGACATGATTAAAAAAATTTGTAAATGCATTGAAAAAAAATTACCGTAATTTTCGCTCCATAAGACGCACTTTTTTCCCCCCAAAAAAGGGGGGAAAATGTCAGTGCGTCTTATGGAGCGAATGTAAATGGCCGCTTAGCTCTTCTCTCCTGCAGGACCTTACCTGTTCCTCGCTCCTGTGCTGCAGTCTTCCCGCGGCGTCTTCTGTGACAGCCGGGTGCCCACTGCGCATGCGCGAGAAGCGCCACGCTTTGTGAATGGTCCGGTGTCTTCTGGGACACATGGCAGGTCCCAGAAGGCTCCGGGCCATTCACAAAGCGCAGCGCTTCTCGCGCATGCGCAGTAGGCACCCGGCTGTCACAGAAGCCGCCGCGGGAAGAAGAGGGAAGGACAACTCCGCGGAAGTGGGAGCGGGTACCTGTCAAATTCAGGTATCCACTCCCCCTCCCTCCCCAAAGGTCCGCAGTCTCTGGTAATCTCCTTTACTGTCTGCAGTCTCTGGTCATCTGTACTATGTCCACAGTCTCTGGTCATTCCCTGTACTATGTCCGCAGTCTCTGGTCATGCCCTGTACTGTTTCCGCAGTCTCTGGTCATTCCCTGTACTGTGTCCGCAGTCTCTGGTCATCTCCTGTACTGTGTCTGCAGTCTCTGGCCATCTCCTGTACTGTGTCCGCAGTCTCTGGTCATCTCCTGTACTGTGTCCGCAGTCTCTGGTCATCTCCTGTACTGTGTCCGCAGTCTCTGGTCATCTCCTGTACTGTGTTCGCAGTCTCTGGTCATCTCCTGTACTGTGTCCGCAGTCTCTGGTCATCTCCTGTACTGTGTCCGCAGTCTCTGGCCATCTCCTGTACTGTGTCCGCAGTCTCTGGTCATCTCCTGTACTGTGTCTGCAGTCTCTGGTCATCTCCTGTACTGTGTCCGCAGTCTCTGGTCATCTCCTGTACTGTGTCCGCAGTCTCTGGTCATCTCCTGTACTGTGTCCGCAGTCTCTGGTCACCCCCTGAACTGTGTCCGCAGTCCCTGGTCATTCCCTGTACTGTGTCCGCAGTCTCTGGTCATTCCCTGTACTGTGTCTGCAGTCTCTGGTCATCCCCTGAACTGTGTCTGCAGTCTCAGGCCATCTCCTGTACTGTGTCCGCAGTCTCTGGCCATCTCCTGTACTGTGTCCGCAGTCTCTGGCCATCTCCTGTACTGTGTCCGGAGTCTCTGGTCATCTCCTGTACTGTGTCCGCAGTCTCTGGTCATCTCCTGTACTGTGTCCGCAGTCTCTGGTCATCTCCTGTACTGTGTCTGCAGTCTCTGGTCATTCCCTGTACTGTGTCCGCAGTCTCTGGTCATCCCCTGAACTGTGTCTGCAGTCTCAGGCCATCTCCTGTACTGTGTCCGCAGTCTCTGGCCATCTCCTGTACTGTGTCCGCAGTCTCTGGCCATCTCCTGTACTGTGTCCGCAGTCTCTGGTCATCTCCTGTACTGTGTCCGCAGTCTCTGGCCATCTCCTGTACTGTGTCCGCAGTCTCTTGTCATCTCCTGTACTGTGTCCGCAGTCTCTGGTCATCTCCTGTACTGTGTCCGCAGTCTCTGGTCATCTCCTGTACTGTGTCTGCAGTCTCTGGTCATCTCCTGTACTGTGTTCGCAGTCTCTGGTCATCTCCTGTACTGTGTCCGCAGTCTCTGGTGATCCCCTGTACTGTGTCCGCAGTCTCTGGTCATCTCCTGTACTGTGTCCGCAGTCTCTGGTCATCCTGTACTGTGTCCGCAGTCGTCATCTCCTGTACTGTCTCTGGTCACTGTGTCCTGTACTGTGTCCGCAGTCTCTGGTCATCTCCTGTACTGTGTCCGCAGTCTCTGGTCATCTCCTGTACTGTGTCCGCAGTCTCTGGTCATCCCCCCTGTACTGTGTCCGCAGTCTCTGGTCATCCCCTGTACTGTGTCCGCAGTCTCTGGTCATCCCCTGTACTGTGTCCGCAGTCTCTGGTCATCTCCTGTACTGTGTCCGCACTCTCTGGTCATCCCCTGTACTGTGTCCGCAGTCTCTGGTCATCCCCTGTACTGTGTCTGCAGTCTCTGGTCATCTCCTGTGCTGTGTCCGCAGTCTCTGGTCATCTCCTGTACTGTGTCCGCAGTCTCTGGTCATCCCCTGTACTGTGTCCGCAGTCTCTGGTCATCTCCTGTACTGTGTCCGCAGTCTCTGGTCATCCCCTGTACTGTGTCCACAGTCTCTGGTCATCTCCTGTAGTATGTCTGCAGTCTCTGGTCATCCCCTGTACTGTGTCTCTGCAGTCCATTGGTTCAGAATATTTTTTTTTCTTGCTTTTCTCCCCTAAAACCTAGGCGCGTCTTATGGTCAGGTGCGTCTTATGGAGCGAAAAATACGGTAATCCATTCCGGAGGTCAGAAAAAAGTTTAAAAAAGTCTTATCTGTTCAAAACTCTTTTTAAAGTGCACTTAAAGACCTAGTATTGTACAGGGACATGATTAACAAAAAATTCATAAATGCATTGAAAACCAGTTAATCAATTTGTATTGTGAAAAAAATTTGTAAACCGAGGCATTATATTCAATGGATTTTCATTGGTAAACCGAAAATTATGTTAACCAAGGTGTTCGAAAACCAAGGTATGCCTGTACTTGTTCACAACTGCCCTGTGCATTATTGAATTAAACCAATTTTCAATACGAGATTGAATCTCTTGCATGAAAGGGATTAACATCTCATGGATCTCATGGGTAATTGGACCATTCTAGGCAGCTGCTTTTAAACTGATTACATTTTCTCTTCTATGCATTAAGTTCCCTGCAGTAAGAAATACATAAGGACTCATAGGCATAATTTTTGTAACATTTCATTTCTTTCAGAATTCACAGTGTTAAAAGTGCCAAAAAAAATCCTATTATGTATAAATGTAGCGGCAACATCTTTCTGCGTTAAATGAAGCATAAATGTGTGAATGTTATTATTGTCAAAAAAAACATTTTCTGTTCTCATAGCAATTATCATACACCTACAAATTGTTGTGGTTTATCTGAACATGCACATCGAGATAACTATGTTAAACAATTTATTTAACCGAATATTATGCTGAAGAACAATTTCAACTTTCAGTATAAATACAATTATTGTAATTAAGCAAATTATTACAGATCCTAAAGGGCTTCACTTACAGCTTTGATCACATCGAATGCACTAACACTAGGAAACTAACTTTAGACACAATATAGTCTCCTACAGGCGTTTAGAGTTGGGAGCATTTAGGGGCAGAAATCTGAACGCACCAAAATCATGTTCAAGAGAGGAGCAAAGGCAGAAAAAAACACCCAACATGCCCCAACGTGTGAAAACGCTTTAAACACTAGCAGCGTTTAGCACGTGAGCATTTATTCAATTCAAAGGCCAGAATAAATTAATATTATGGCCTGTGAAAAGAATGATTGCCCAAATGCTAAATGCACCTAAACATGTTTGACAAGCATGCCTTTAGACACGCTTATAATGCTGCTTATTCCCCTGCCAGGAGGAAGATATTCAGAAGAGCTGGGCAAATGCCCAGTGTGCATGAGGCCTTAAAGCGTTTCCAAACCTTCAAAAAAAAAGATAATGTACTGTAGCATAAATAAATTGGTGTTTTTCTTGTGTAAGGGTTCATGTACACTGCAGCTGATAAACTCATGTTTAGGAGCTGGTCAGCGTTTTTTTCAGCAGCCCCTGAACTCACCCTAATGTTTTCCCAGGTGTCCATGTACACATCTTTGTTTACAGTCGTTTACAGGCATTTGAGTTTACAGTCATTTTTTCTAACGCAGAAAACTTGCGTTCAGCAGTCGATTTTATCAGCATTTCAAACGCAAAATGCTTGTAAACGCGGCTAAACACGGCAAATCGCATTTATAAGTGTTTGCGTCTGAAAATTTTTTTTAACTCTTCCAGTTCCCGATGCTGTTCAGAACCTTTTTCATCATGAAAAATACATGCAAAGCGTTTTCAAGGTACTCAGAAAACAGGATGTTCCTTCCAAGCTTGTCACACATTGTAAGGACAAATTCACACCTCAGACCTCTCCCACCCTTGGAAACAAAAGATATGTTAATGACCATTCACACCTCAAATTCCTCATGAAGACCCCCTGCCAGGTGGCCTTAATGACTCACTCCACCAGACACCTTTCCCACCCTTGGAAACAAAAGAAATGTTAATGAGCAACTCACACCTAAGCTAATTTCAACATGTACTGCTGCCTCTGCTTCTACTCTCTGTATTTCTCTGAAACAGTCTGAAATAGTTAATAATTTACCACTTTTCAGTGCATTCTGGGCATTTGGGAGGTTCTCCTGCGCTTATCTTTAAAAAACCGCTTCTAAACGCAAACACGCATAAACGAGCATAAACTCCTTTTTTAACCTACTTTTTCCAGCAGTCAGTTTCCATCATTCAGAAGTGTCCCGTATACAGGGGGCCTTAGTTGCTTCTAATATTTAAAGCCCAACTCCAGGAAAATGAGCACTTGTTATGCCTAGGGGTTATTGTTCAAGCAATTTTACTTATCTTTCACCCTGCTCCAAGCTGCTCCAGCACTTTCCTCCTCCAACCAAAGCTCTGGTCTATTGGTGGAGCCTCGGTGATAATTTAGGGATGTTAAATCTGTATTGTACATTGAGGAGGTTGACTGCAACCGGAGCCAGTTGCAGCTTACAGTGGCAGCTACAGGGGACTGGTCACAGAGGTGGAGAGAAAAAACATACAAATGTAAAGCACATATTTACACTTGAGTGACCAGAATGTCCATATAGCCTTTATTGATTCAGACCTTTAATTCCTCTTAGGGGCCACAGGGAATAAGACTCTTTGTAAGCTAGCTTTTTTCTTTGAACAGCGCTGGTCTGTGGATAGTTTGCTTAACTATAGATATTATTCATGTGAGTGGATTTTGTTTTTAACTGCTGAATAAATTTGCTTATAATTAACTCTTCTCTGTGCCACTCTGCTCTGTCTTACTGTGTGCAGGGGTGGAGGAAGCCTACGGGAGTGAGAAGTAAGGTATTTTCCTTAATCCTCTTCCCCTATACCAGGGGGTCTCCAAACTTTCTAAGCAAAGGGCCAGTTTACTGTCTTTCAGGCTTTAGGAGGGCCAGACTGGGGCCAGTGGGAGTAAAAAATTACCCGCCATCGGTGCCTCTTTGTTGATTTGTTGATTTTAATGGGAGGAATAGTGCCCCATTGTTGGTATCAATGGGAAGAATAGTGCCCCATTGATGGTGCCAAAAGGGTGGCATGGTGCTCCATCATTGGTGTCATTTGGTGGAATGGTGCCCCAAGGGCCAGATAAAGGCAAGCGAAGGGCCACATCAGGCCCCCTGGTTGCAGTTTTGAGACCACTGCCCTAGAATAAATGAGAAATTATACCTTGTTGTGCAAAGGGCCCCAATGCAAGGGTGAATTTTTTATTTTCCTGGGGTTGGGCTTTAAAAACTAGACCCAGGCTAAATCCCTGTGATATCACTATCATTCTTTATGACCTCCATGGACCAGCAGTGTTGTCCCTATGAATGCGCACTCCCAAGCCAAAATTACAAGGCATGCTGACACAACAAATATCGACCCATCCTATAGATTCCATTTGTTGACATAACGTCACATTTCACTGGTTCCCGAGGGACAGCTTGTCAGCCTCCAGAGAAAGCTGCAGAGAATTGGCTGTGTGCACAGTACATCATGGGACTGGTAGTCCCAAAGAGAGGCTGGTCAGTGCTGTACACTAGTTAACGTTCAACAAGGAAGCTGTAGAAAAGAGCGGCATGACGATGAGCAAAAAAACATGTTAAAGGTAAGAACTCTTCGCTTTGCTTCTAAATAACAATTGACCACTGTTTGCTTGCCTAGCAGGTAATCACATATATTATTGTTCTCCAATAACTGGCTGCATGCTTGTGCTGGGTCAGTGCCTAAGAAAGCATCAAAGCTGCAGGAACAGGTTGACACCAGGCAACTAGCATTTGGAAAATGGGACATCAGCAATAGTAGTCTACATGCATCTCTCCATTCAGGTTTTCTTTAATTTTTACAGTACCAACATTTTATGTATTGCTTTATAAAGTACACTGAACCATTGACATTACATGTCCCTTGAAGGAGCTCCCAAGCTAATGACCCCAGCATTCTCCTACACACCCTATGGACAGTGGGATGAGTTGCTAGATAACCTGCTAGTATGGAAAGGACGGGGGGGGGGGTCACCACTTGCCTAACGCGCACTTTTACTCCCTTCCTGCCCAGGCCAATTGTCATGCAACTTTTGACTCCCATATGAAATTTTTATCTTTTTTTTTAGACATATAGAGCTTTCTTATGGTGGTATTTAATCACTACTGAGTTTTTTATTTTTTTGCTAAACAAACTAAAGAAAGAGTGAAAATTTAAAAAAAAAAAAAGTTTTTTCTTAGTTTCTGTTATAAAATTTTGTATATATGAAAATTTTCCCCTTCACCGATGTGTGCTAATGAGGCTGCAGTGATGGGCACTGATAGACGGCACTGATGAGGAGGCAATGGTAGGTGGCACTGATGGGCATTGACAGGCATCACTGATGGGCACTGAAAGGCAGCACTCATAAATAACACTGATAGCCGGTACTGATTGGCAAAACTGATGGGCACTGATAGGCAGCACTGACTGGCACTGATAGTTGGCACTGAAAGGCAGCTCTGATGGGCACTATGTGGCATTGATGTACACTGGTAGGCACTATGTGGCATTGATGTGCACTGATTAGCACTGATATGTGGCATTTATGTGCACTGGTATGTGGCAGTGATAGGCACTGACAGGTGGCACTGATCATCAGGGCACTGATTATCAGTGCCCTGATGATCAGCAAATGCCCCTCTGAGGAATGCTGCTTACCAGTTTACCAGAGGAGAGCACTGCCGATAACCGGCATTTCCTTGTTTACATTGGACACAGCTGATCACGATAGAGCCTGTGTAAGTGGGACACAGTGCACCACCGATCGCCACGCCGCATGCTCCCCGGGACAAGCAAGCGCAGTTAGAGTGAGAGGACGTCATATGACATCCTCCCAGAACGAGAGAGCCCCCGCCCGCATGTTATTTCCTTATATGGCGGGTGGGAGGCATCACCTGACCCCATTTATTTGCTGGTTCCCTGGCCTATAAGGGGCAGCATGAGAGCTGACATCACTGACCAAATTTGACATCATCTGGGAGATGTCATTCCTTTGTTTACTTTTAGTGGCAGAGGCATGGAGATGTCAATTAGCAACAAGTAAGCGATGGGGATGGACTGTGTTGGCAGGAGGCAGTTAAGATCTGTCATTTACTGACAATGTAAATGCCATATTTTTGTAAATGTCAGTTTTGCTGCAGTAGGTTTACACTTCATAGAGATGTCACTTCACAGGCAGGCTATGGACATTCCCCAGGCATGTTATGTAAAGGAATTTTATTGCTTTAGTACATGCTCTCTAGGGCATTTTCTGATGCGCTGAAAAAAAATATTGTGTTCAGTACTACTTGCTTTTCAGCACACGCCAATCAACACTGTTGTGTGAACTGCCTTTAAAGGGAACCAGGCTTTTTTTTATAGCAAACATAGGTACCCCACCCCTTATAAACAGAGACAACAACCTAGGATTTTCCTTCTTCGAGAGTCCTAAAAAGAGCATCTAAAAAAGGTAAGTTACAATTTTGCATATATTTTTAAGTTATGCTGTGTGCATTGGGGATGTGTAACAAATATTACGGTGTTATCTGGCTGCAAAAGTGGAAATACACTTTAAGGTATGCTACACAATAACATTGGTTGACAGACTATGGTAGCATTAAGCACTCATTTTCACATCTTAAATTATATTGCGGCCTAAAGAAACAGTCCCCTTCCGTATAAGACCTGTATTTCAGCAAATCATTTGTCTTTGACTTGCTAACCTAGTGGCAGGTTGACATTTCAGAGGCTAGACAAGTGTTACAATCTAGCCTTACAATCAATACCAGAATCTACTTTAACGACCAACATGGAGTAGTTGGTAAATCAAATGAACTTAGACTGTATCTACTGTAGCCAGTTTAAGGCATCATTATATATATATATATATATATATATATATATATATATATATATATATATATATATATTCCCCAGTAATTTATTTTGAATCAAGCTCTATGTCTCTAAGAATTACATTTCAGTAGCTATTTTTATCCTTCTAGTTAGAGACTTGATCAAAAATCCTACTGCAAAAGGAACAGAAAGAAAAAAAAAATCACTGAAGATGTGTTCACTGGATTTCTGCCTACTCTCCTTCAAAAAGAAACAAGAAAGTCTAATGCTGTAGTTGATCTTTATTTATACAGAAGCTGTAGGGGCCATAAAGTTGTTTTCTGTGGTGAGTTGTAGATGGCTTCTCACTTCTTCTGGGTTATTTGACCATCCAACACATCCAAAAACAGATCTGCAATCTGAATTATCACTAAATCAGACTGTGGTCCCATACTCATCGGCCTCAGTAACAAGGAAGGGAGTCTTAGACTAGGTTTACACAAGCCCGCACTGTGCATCCTGGTTGCGTGAATCGCATTGATTCCCGCACCCTCAACCACCCGCAGCCGAATTGCGCTGCTCTTGAAAGACAAGCAGGGCAGCCATTCATTCTGAAGCATCTCTACTCATCTCAGCCCGCAGTGTGATCACAGGTGCAGGAACCACATGGTCAAAAATACCATGTGGTTTCTCTGTGGCCACATCTTTAAAAAGGTGCATATACCTTTATTATGTGGGACATGCGGCACAGCAGCCCATTCAAATGATCGGGCCACCGTGTGCAAGCAAACAATGGTCCTCACTAGTGTGAACCAGGTGTTAATGTAGGATTCTTTTGGCTGGTACTTTTGTAGAAATCGAGTGCTGTTTTTACTAGGGGGAGTGATGGATCCTATTCCCTGCTTTGCAGGGACACAAGATCCATCACTTCTCTCCAGTCAGAACGGAGCTCTCTCTTTTTTACATAGGCAGAGCTCAGTTCTGTGTCTCTCCCTGACGATTGGCAGGTGCCAGTGGACATCCACTGCTTGGCACCGGCAGATCGGTTTCTGCTGTGAATAATCATAGCTGAAGCGGCCTTCCAGTAGCACACATGCGCGCCCCCTAGGTGGAAAGTGCAGGATCACGTTTATATATATACATGATTTTGTACAGGAGGTCCACCTTCTAGTAGTATATCTGCTATGGCGCAGTCCTAAAGTGGTTAAAACAATCCCACTGATCTACCAGGGAATAACAGTAGAAACCCCTATAGTCTGCACAGTTGGGAGGTTAGTTTACTAAAGGCAATTAGGCCTCACTTTACAGGTGAAGCTCTGCTGACTCCCATAACCCAATCATGTGCAAGTTAAAATGTTTTTCACAACAATCTTTGGGCACCCCAATGCACACCCCCATGTTGAGGGAATGTGGCCTACTATGGTTCGGGGGGGCACTCGCTCCTATGCTCTGATCAAGGGTCTGGTAGGAATTTAGCGGGGGCCCCATACTTTTTCCCTTCCATTTTTTGGGGGCGGGGTTCCCCTTAAAAGTCCTACCAGGCCTAAAGGGCATAGTATGAATTGGGGGAGGGGCACAGTTTTTTTGTTTTGTTTTTATAAAAAATGTAATTTTTTTTCAAAACATCAGTTTTGTTGCAGCAGGTTCTATACATTGTACAGATGTGCAGGTAGTTTAAGGGGACCCCCCAGGCATGATATTTAAAGGAATTTGGGGACAATTCACTAAGTGTTATCTTACCGCATCAGAGTATGCGATAAGATATCACACAGCATTTTTTTTTTTAAAAGTTGGCATTCACTAAAAAAAACGCAACTAAAATACAGCATGAGTTACTTTATTAAGTCATGCAGTATTTTATAGTGAAAACCATGCGTTAATGTTTCAGCTGTCAGCGGGGTTCCCCTCTGACAGCCGAATATAAAAAGAATTGCCAGCAATTGAAAATTTAGCAAAAAAAGGCATGCCCCATCCATACCAAGTCCTTCTGGTTTGGTATTGATTTTGAGGGGAACCACCATGCAAAAAAAAAAAATGTTGTGAGAACACCCAAAAATCCATACCAGACCCTTATCTGAGCATGCAACCCGGCAGGTCAGGAAAGGGGGGGGGGGAGAGTGAGCGACCCCCCCCCCTCCTGAACCATACCAGGCCATATACCCTCAACATGGGGGGTGCTTTGTTGAGAAGGGCCTCTTCCTCACAACCCTGTAGTTGTGGGGGTCTGTGGGCGGGATGCTTATCAGAATCTGGAAGCCCCCTTTAACAAGATACCACTTAGTGAATTGTCCCCTGGGTTTGAAGTTCGCAGTCTAACTTATGTTCGAATGTTCGACCGCGAACCGAAGAAGGGGGGTTTTCGGCCCTTCATTAATGGCAAGCAATGACTATCCACTACGCATTGCCACTGGTGTCAGAATCCATTAGAGTAGGAGTATGGGAAACGTTTTGTCTAAAATGAATGTGAAAGAATGCCTAGGCAAGCAGAGCAGAAGTGGGAGTGGGTATCTGTCACAAATAGGTGCCTGCTTCCAGAAAAAAAAAACATCCAAAAGTGGCAGAGGAGATGAGGAGTAGGAGGAAAAGCATAGCTTCTCTTTTTAGGTGAAGTTCTGCTTTAATGAATTCATTACTTGTTGACAGTGTTTACTGGAGGTAAATGCAATGACCATAATGTCCCAAGTCATTTGTAAATATTTTCATTATGGCGCATCTGGGTAATAGTATATTGCATGAAAGTCATGCCCCATACATTACCAGAAAATAAAAAAATATGAAAAACTGTTACTAAGTAACATGTTGGATATTTAATTTGCAAACACTGTCACCTAGTGGGCTAAATGAAGATTTTTAATAAGTACTATCATGACATTTAAAATGTTAATATTTATAGAAAAATGTATTTAATTTCTACAGTACATGTACATACTGTATATTGTACATCCCTTGTGTTTTCTAGAATAATGTATTGCATACTTTTCATAAGGCAGTGACATTTGTGTCAGTTCTGTAAATGTATATCTATCTACAGATTCAAGAATATAATTAAATTTTAAAACCAATAAAAATGTATATACTGTATACTTCAAACGTTTCATTTTGGATGTAGTAGGGAATGATTAAAAGCCCTGTAACCTTTTATCCCCCTATTCTCTGTCATCCCTGTCTCCCTCCATCCCCCAACCTGTCTTTTTTCTCTTCTTCCCTTGCCCTTCTTATTTGCCATTTCTACAAGTTATTCTTTTTTCTTGTCTGTGGTTGTAAACCCTTATATATACCCAGTGAAGTGACTGGCTTCAAGTGATACAGAGTTGAAAAAGATCATCCTACATAAGTTGTACCTGTTAATCTGCTGTCCTCTCTTCTGTACATATGTTCCAAGTGCTGCAATTATAAAGCTTGTCTGAGAGTTCAGAGAAAATGGGGAAGACAACTGAAATTACACTCTGCAGAGCTCAGTGAGGTGAGCTCTGAGAGCTGATTGGAGGGAAGGGATACACCCCTTTACACAGCTCACAGGAACAGAGCTGAGGCTGTTGATCTGCTGGAGATCCCTCCTCTTTCAACTTTTTTTCTCTTGGTGTCAGTAATACTTATCAGATACCACTAATGTTAATAGCAGAGGAACAAAGTGGCAACAGAAATGGCACCTGATGTTCTTAATTGAGACAAGTACACACATAGAGGGATATGCTTTGTTCATATTTCATGTCTGAGGTTTACAACCACTTTAGTTTTCATCATCCTCTGTTTCCCTACTTCTTTTCCATCTTTTTCATCCTTGCCATAAGTTTTTATATATTCTAAAATCAGGGACCATACTGGTGCTGTTTTTATTTATCCTGTCTTTACTCTGACATTCCTCAGGATTTTGGCCATTGTTGAAAGAAAGCCATAAGAAGTCCTGTTTGAAGTTTGTGAGAAGCCATGTGGAGGACACAGCAAACA